TTGGTTTTCGTGTTCAGGACAAATAAAAGGAAGATCGAAATTTTACAATATCATTTTGAAGTTATGTCTGACGGTGTTCGAATATCGGACCACCTACAGCAGAATATGTAAACAAATACGAAATGTAATAAAATAAAGTAAATAAATAAAAAAGTGAAAAAAGCAAAAAAATATTTTGTTCTTCTTATTGATATTTATGTCCAAAAGTAGTTAGCTAGAAGTTAGTTGACTTCTAATGCAGCGGAAACCAGTTCTCACTATTTTGCGGTCATCGCCCTTCAAAAGTGGTTAGTTACGGCCAAAGGAAATAATTAATAAATAGTTACCACTAGTCGATGGCTAGTTAGTTGATAGTTAGCTACAAACTAGTCCCATTTCCTGCAGGGGAAGGCTGACGTTTTTTTATCGTGTGTTGTTAGTTATCTCGAAAGTCACTTTCAGTTTAATAACAACAAATTTGCCTATAACTTACAAATCTTTTTTCACAATTTACTGACATTGTAAAAGAGTTTCGCATACGAGGCATAGAGTGAGATACTCCTTTTAGCAAATTTTTAGTCTTTAAAAGTTTTTGCGTAATTGAAAAAATTAATTTAAGTCATGAGGAAATATAGATGAAGGCCTTAAATAGTGGTACTTTTTCACAGTTTGAAATATATGTAATTTATTTTTTTTCAATACCACACTCAAACGAAGCAAAAAACTGTATATTACTGCGAAAAAATCCCGTTTCGCAGTATCTCCATTTAAAAATAAAAGCATTTTGTACAATATTTTTATGCCCCGATACAAACTGATATATCTAACAAAAGCCATGGAAATCCTAATTTCTCACTCTGTACAAAAATTAGAAAAATTCAAAAAAGTTACGCAACAACAATCAGCCTCATTGGAAGAGTCGTGTGGAATGCGAATTGTTTTTCGAGAGTCGAATCGTATCGAAAATTTCGTGTCATTTCCTAAAATTTCCACTCGACTAGTGTATTAAAACGGAAAGACTTGGCAGCATTGCATAGCTCTCAACGATTTTCGTCGTTTAGTTATTTCAGCACGACAGGAGCAGTGTTGCCGTTTTAGCCCTTTGGTGGCTAGATTTAGCTACCACATACTTTTTTTTTGGCCACATAAATTTAAAATTGCCCCTAGCCCTTTTTTTTAGCCCTTTGGAAAGTTTATTCATACTTGGCATGAAAAAGTTGTATATGCTTAATTTGATCTAATTTTTTTTTTATCTATGTAAGAGATGAATTTTTAAACTAAGAAAGACTGATATACATATATGTATTGTATGTTCCTTACGTTTTTATACTACTATAGCTTAAAATAGAAAAGTTTACGGCCCTTAATATGCTTTATTTGTTAAATGGCCCATCAAGTCGATTGACCGTGTATGTTCTTGTGGTGTGATTGTACCAGCTGCTGGTGTGACTTCAACTATTGAAACTATTTGAAAATTTTATGATTGTACCAGCAAGCTGGTGTCGTCACTGGTGAAATTAGTTAAATTTTCTAAGTAAAAAGTATTTTCGCGGAAATTTCTTGCCCTATATGGGTCAAAGCCGTGTTTGTGGAAGATTAAGTTCACGATATTGCAGTTGTGAATTTCAAAAAAAAAAAACAATGTTTAAAAAAATGGTAGAAAAATTATGAAATTTCGGCTCTAATCATTTCGATCTTTCCTCAACCTCATTTGTAAAGAAATGAATATTTTACCAGAATGCTGGTAAGTTATATGCTTCGAGCCTGATGGTACAATTACTTGATGGAGCCAGCAAGCTGGTGTCGTATATTTCCTATTTTATACAAAAAGGTTTTTGGTTGGATAAAATATTAGCTTTTTTTCCAGACTTCATTGTTTTCTATACCATTACTTATTGAAAATGTTTGCGTGTATACTTATATATGTATATGTAAGTAAAAAATTTAGCTACCATTTGTAGCCACAACGACTTTTTTTAGCTCTTTTTTAGCCCTTTTTTAACGGAATTTGGCTACCGCTAAAAATGATTCGCGGCAACACTGGACAGGAGACAATGCTGTCGAGTCGTACAATTTAGCCCAACTTACGACTTACGCAATGAGGCTGAATATAATAGTTGTTGTGCACAATTTGTTTTGTATGGAACGTGAATTCTTTGGCTGTGGAAACTTACACCTCATTATTAATATAATATAAATTATAAATACAAAGTTTGTTGTTGCGAAATTATTTTAATTTCTCTACAAAGCTTGAAATGTGGTTTTAAGTATTATATAATTAACTAGACTTAAATAAAAAATTAATAAACATTAAACAAAAGAAAAGAAAATAGTAAAAACTGGTCAAGATGTCGTGTCTCTATTTTTTTTTTTTTACATAACAGTATATAGGCGCTTATATGCATTTTTATAGCGCATTTCCACGAATACTGTGCATTAAAAAATTTTAGTCAGCAAAAAAGTATAAACGCAGTATTTTGGAAAAACCCGCGATATGCATTTTTGGAATCCAAGAAAAAGGTATTATACTGCCTAAAAGAGTATATGTATGTAGATACGAGCGTTAAGTATGTAGTTTGCTTCCTGGCGCAAAGACAGAAATCGGCTTCTAATTAAATTTTTTTAAAGTGAACTTCAAATTAAAAGTTATTTTAAACTGAAATGCATGTATAGAATTCTTTGACTATTTAAACACTGAAGATGGAAATGATCTCATTATTGCTATTCAAAAATGTCATAAATATAAAATAATTTATTGGCTTCTGTGTACAATGATGTGTACACTCATGTAAAAATGAATAACACTCTTATTTTTTATGAACTATATTTTACTTATAAATATACCAAGATATTGTTAAAAACAAGTTT